GTTTTTGGCATTGGTGCCACTCAATTAAAAAAAAATTATGGAGGGGTGCTTCAAGTCCAAAAACGGTTGAGAACTACTGCCATAAGGGAATGTTATACGGCCTCTAAACCATGCCATGGAGTTCTGTGGTAAGCACACCTTACTTGCTGTGTGCATGCTATCCATCAAAACAACCATAATGTAGCCACTTTCAAGCAATAGGGGCCAGCCCTTTCAGCAGCATCCTGAGCGCCACATTAATCCCCTTCCCCTGCCCAATCTGCTGCTGTGCTGTCTGTCTCCACCCTGATCTTCCGTGTGCCACACAGGCTGCCCATGCCACTTGTGACATGCGTGCCACAGGTTGGCCACCCCTGCCATAGGTATTGCTGGGCACACATGAATAAACTCACTGTCTTGCTGCACTTACTGGCCAGCGTGCCTGGAGTGGTTCTATGACATTAATTCAATGGTGGGCTACACCATGGAAAGAGCAGGCATGCTATCTGTTTCACTGTAGTGCTCCTCAGCACTGTCCTTTGACAGCAAGCCCTAATTGTCCAAGAGAAGTAACAAGGGCTAATGACGCACAGAACTAAGAGTTGGAAGTCCCAGGTCATGAATTCAGCTTGTTTCATAGTTTCATAGATTTAGGGTCGGAAGGGACCTAGTAGATCTTCTAGCCCGACCCCCTGCCAGGGCGGGAGAACAACAAAACCCCAGAACAAGAAACGGGACTCAAATGAGTCCAGCCAGGTAGGCATCCAGCCTCTTCTTAAAGACCCCCAGGGTAGGGGCCAGCACCACTTCCCTTGGAAGTTGGTTCCAGCTCCTAGCCGCCCTAACTGTGAAGTAGTTTTTGCGGAGTCCAATCTATACCTCCTCTCCATCAACTTGTGCCCATTACTCCTTGTTATGCCAGCGGGCGCCAGGGGAAACAGCGTCTCCCCCAAACCCTTCTGGTCCCCCCTAGTGAGTTTATAGATGGTCACCAGGTCCCCCCTCAGCCTTCTCTTGTGGAGGCTGAATAGGTTCAGGTCCCGCAGTCTCTCACTGTAGGGTCTGCCCTGTTGTCCCCGGATCATGTGTGTGACCTCAGGCCATTCACTCAACCTTGCCATAATTGGGGGTTTTTTCTAATTGAAAACATGGATCACTACCTACATTCCTATTTAGCAAGGACACTGAAAAGATTAATGTTTTTAAAGTATACTGAACAAGTAGAGCACTGCAGAAAACGCTGAGTCTTACTACTATTAATGGGAATAGCACTTCTTGTGATTCAAAATGCAATCATAATTCACAACCAGATGAATGAACAGTCTTGGAACTCAGTGCACGCATCTAAAAGAGCCAGGCAGTGCCTGATACTACTCTGCAAAGACTCTTCCAATCTTGCTTTGCTTCTTTCAGACAGAATGGCTAGGGACAGATATTCAAGAAGCCAAAGCCTGAATTGAGTCAACCTTTACAGGTTAGTCTAACCTGCCTCGGTGGAACCGGTTTGTAACGGAACAGGATATGCAGGCTCAAGCCAGGGGCCGGGGGCACCAGAGTGGCAGGGAAGCTGTGCTTTGGTGGGGTGTGAACTGGCCAGAGAGGGGTTTAATTACCACCTTGCTGTCCCACCAACAGGGACCCAAGCTGGGTCTGCCAGGTGCTCCCCCCTTGCTGCAGTAGCAGAGGGACACCATGGCTCCTGAGCCAGAGGGGGTTAGTCTCCCCTCTCTCCCACTGGCAGCCGGGTCTGCCCGCCATTGCAGGGTAGAGCCTGTGTGGGGCTGCCCTGCGTCTCCGCTGCCTCAGGGCTGCCCCGCAGGGCATTGGTGATGCAGCAGAGATGCAGGACAGCCCCATGTGGGCTCTGGGCAGCTGCACCTTAAGAGCTGGCAGCAGGTTTGGGAGGGGCCACTCTTCCCCCCACGCTGAGCAGCAGTTTCTCTCCTGCGCTGCCACTGCTCAGCCCATACAGGAGAGCCTAGAGACAGCATGGGGTCAGGGCTGTGCGCACTGGTCCCTCCCTGTACTGTGGGGCTGGGGCTGGTGGCAGCAGCAAAGCAGCCCCAGCCCAGATGCATGCCTAAGGGCTGGTGCCTCAGCCAGGTGGGACTTAGGGAACTGCCAGGGGTCAAATAAAGCCCCTCTGTGGGCCAGATCCACCCAGCCAGCGGTATCTGGCTATGCCCCCACCTGGGCATTGGAGCGGGGGGGGGAGGGGAGTTTCCCCGAGTGTAAGCCTCTTCCTGGTGGCGGAAGGGGCCATGCTGTAGGGTGAAGAGAGCTGCTAAGGGTCGCGACAGCAATGGTAGCAGTGCTGGGGGGGGGGGGGGGC